TCTCACAAGTCTTGTAAATAAGAAGGAGCAATTTAAGGTAGCATTAAAAAGATACTTAATTACACACTCCTTTTACTTTGTCAATGAATTTATGTTGTTTACAAATAAGTGATAAATTTTCTTCTGTGTGTAATGGGTAGATCTATTTGTAGGTTATCATTTCTTTAGGTGAACCCTTTGTTTTGTATTATGTGAAATTTATATAATAGTACGAATTGTACTTTATAATATGTATTGTATTATTATTATTTTTATTATTATGACTTTTTCCACATCCTATTGTCATCTGACTGTCTTATGGATCCATGGAATGTAATAAAATATTATTATTATTATCCCATCTCTTCACCACTTTATGGGGTATGTACTTCCATGTACCTGAGACAGACCTTATCCCTAAGGTACATAGGGCAGCAGCTATTCCGGGATACATATTGTTTTTAGCAAGTGCCACATGTATTATATAATTTTATTTTATGAAAGCGTCTTTCGGATGATGTTTGAAGTTCCCAAAATGGCGGTCTTCTGCAGTTCCCTGATGTCATGTTCACCTGGGAGGTTGGCCAAATATTTTCTGAGCGACCTGGAGACAGTTCCTGTCGCTCCTATAACTATTGGAATTATTTTTGCTTGAACGTTCCACATTCTCTGTATTATTGTTATTATTATCCCATCTCTTCACCACTTTATGGGGTATGTACTTCCATGTACCCGAGACAGACCTTGTCCCTAAGGTACATAGGGCAGCAGCTATTTCCGGGATCCATATTGTTTTTAGCAAGTGCCACATGTATTATATAATTTTATTTTATGAAAGTGTCTTCCGAATGATGTATGAAGTTCCCAAAACAGCGGTCTTCTGCAGTTCCCTGATGTCGTGTTCGCCCGGGATGTTGGCCAAATATTTCCTGAGTGACCTGGAGACAGTTCCTGTCGCTCCTATAACTATTGGGATTACTTTTGCTTGAACCTTCCACATTCTCTGTATTTCTATGAGAAGGTCCTTGTATTTCAATATCTTCTCTGCTTCCTTCTTAATCACATTCCTGTCAGTCGGTATTGCTATGTCAGTTAAGAGGCAAGTTCCATTTTTGTTTCTGATTATAATGTCTGGTTTATTATTTGGGATGGTTCTATCTGTTCTGATTTGTTGGTTCCACAAAATAGTTGTTGTTGTTATTATTATTATTATTATCCCATCTCTTCACCACTTTATGGGGTATATACTTCCATGTACCCGAGACAGACCTTGTCCCTACGGTTCCTGTCGCTCCTATAACTGTTGGGATTACTTATTATTATTATTATTATTATTATATATAATAGAATGTCTGGAAAGTTTTTCCACCATCTGTGTAGGGAGGTAATAGGTTTTGGGTTTGAAAATATCAGTAATGCAATGATCAAGATTTTAATCAAAGAAGCATTGAAATTAAAATCTAAAGGTAGAATTTTTTAAGAAATATGTATTAGATTTCATTACACATAGAGACAAATGTTTTTTTGAGATATACTGTTTTTGACAAATTTTCAGTATTATGTATTTTAATGGCATGATTTATCTTTCTTATAAGCAAAAGAATGGATATATATGAGTTTTTGTGTGTGTGTATATATGCATATGTTCATTAGTTTGTATTCTTTGCTATACGTTGTAGCTAAGGACTTGCAGAATTATTTTTCTCTCATCTTGTAGATTCAAGCAAGTCCAGTGAAGATGTTGTGAAGGAAGGTCAAATCCTGAGAGAGATGCTGGAAATTGTGGAGCGACGAGATTCACTAATTTCACTGTTGGAAGAGGATCGACAAAGGTGTGGCCATCCACTGAAGCATGGATGTTTGCAACGAAGCCTGTCCGGTCCTACTGTCTTACAACATTTTCAGACAGCCCTGCCACAGAGTGTGTCCTCTAAAGAAGGCTTTTCTTTAATTTTCATATTAGTGGTTTTTGTTGTAATGTGGGCCCTGTCCTATGTTGTAGTTGGCTAATACTTCTCTTTCTCTTTGGCAGGGGACACACTTTAATGTTGCATGAGGCTTGCATTGTGTTTATTTTTGTCTTTAATATTGCTTATTTTTTATCCTTCCGTGCTGTTAAAATTAAAGTAAAAAACTGTATTTTTGCTTTTTGTTTCATTGGCAATGCATGTAGTCTAGTCATATGTTTATAATTGTTTTTTTCAAAGATTTAAAAAAAAGAATTGGTGAATACTTGAAAGATGACCATGTTACATTCTTATTTCATAACCAATCTTCAGGACTCAGAATTTTATTGTATTTTTTATTGTTAGATCATATTTGTCCATACAAACTTCTGGAAACTTTACATCTTGTACTGACTATATTTTGTCTTTCTTTAAAAATTCTTATGCCAATGTTTCTGTAATTAATAATTTTCCCAGACTGAGTTTTGGCTGTTTCGGTCATAGTATTATGTAATTTAGGCAAATATGGAGGAATATAGAACCCTAAGTAGTTGTCCATTTCCCATGTGACATAATTATGATCCAAAGCAGTAAATTTGTACAAAAATAGCCATGAAAATTATGGATCCGGCAAGCATTCTGGTTGATAAGTCTCAAATATACTTCTTATATGTCTGTATAAACGTAAATGCAGTCGCTCTGAACAACAGTATTGCAAAAAGAATCTGTGACTTTTGTTTGCAAGAATATAGTGCTGTGTGATTAACCTAGTAAGTGCTATCAAAGGTACATATCAATAAAATTTAAGTGGAGGATTTACCAGTGTGGTCCATATACAGTAGACCAAATCTAGTACTGTGGCTTTTGTGCATCGTCCAAGCTTTTTCCATTCCAGGACAATAGAACTTTATTAGTACAATTTTCATAGAACTGTGGTAACATGTTAATGAAAACAGGACACTGAATATGTGATTATACTTAAATATATTAAGTGTGTGCGAATTAAGGAGTGAAGTAGTAATGATTTGTGTTTAGGTTGTACCAGCTCAGAGTCTGCGTTAGGTCATAAACCATTCTATTGATTATATTTTTCTTACACCCTCCAGCTGAATGCTGTAATACCGGGTCTACAATTTATGAGGCTGCGGTTGTGCTTGCATGCTTGCATTGCATGGTTGGCCGGTGCTCTGTTGATGTGGGCGGGAGTTGTGCGCGTTCTTCCGGTGGGTGACCGGTGAATCAGTTTCAGTGCCGCTACTAACAGCGAACTACGAATATTTCTCATCACTAATACATGTTAGTACATTAATTGTTCTTACCTTAAATCACAAAAGATGTTCTAAGTGACTTACTTGTGCTTGCAGGCAACTTCACATTTCGTTAACATGTTTCGAAATACTTGACGAAGCTCTTCTTGGGAAATTACCGAATATTTTCTTTAAGTGCTTCTGCAGTGTGCGGATTGTTTACGTAAACTTTGTTCTTCAGCATACCCCACAGGTAAAAATCGCACGGGTTTAAGTCTGGGGAACCACTGATCGATAACTTGTTCACCAAGCACTTCTCTTAATGCTAACATCGACTGATCAGCTGTGTGAGCTGTAGCATTGTCTTGCATGAAGAAACCGTAAGTCTTTTTTTTTTCGGTCATTTCTTGGAAAAAGGGTCTAACTATTAAATTTACATAAGGTTCACAATTTATCTACACACTGCAGAAGCACTTAAAGATTTCGGTCATTTCTTGGAAAAAGGGTCTAACTATTAAATTTACATAAGGTTCACAATTTATCTACACACTGCAGAAGCACTTAAAGAAAAAATCGGCAATTTCCCAAGAAGAGCTTCGTCGAGTATTTCAAAACATGTTAACGAGATGTGAAGTTGCCTGCAAGCACAAGTAAGTCACTTTAAACAACTTTTGTGATTTAAGTTAAGAACAATTAATGTAATAACATGTATTAGTGACGAGAAATATTTGTAGTTTGCTGTTACTAGCGGCACTGAAACTGATTCGCCGGTCACCCACCGGAAGAACGCGCACAACTCCCGCCCACATAACAGAGCGCCGGCCGACCACGCAATGCAAGCATGACTGCAGCCTCATACATTGTAGACCCGGTAGTAGTATCTTGGTCACTTGTAAATAATTTCAGGAACTAGCCAGTGATCACTTTTTATTTTTGTGTCAGAATTCTTTAAAGATAACATTTTTATGCTAATATTTAAGTGTAAATCAATTTCTTTCAATGTGTAGAGTTTAGATTGTTATAAATTAGTTTTTAAACAACTGTGGCATGGGTATGAGATGGAAAACATCAGCTTGTGAGAAGTACATTATCAAGATCTCAGTCTTTTTCATACTACCCCATGAGACTACTTTGTTTACTTTTGTATGAGAACCAAATAAGTTGAGGTTGAATGGTTAGGGTTGTTGCTTTATTTTTGGGGTGTGTGTGGTAGGTACTGGTTCAGTTTTTAACGTGGATGCCAGCTGTCTGGACTGAAATTTATTATTTTCATCATTTTGTTCAGAAAAAATTGATCACAGTCACTTTCTTTCCATTTCTTCATTAATATCTGTCTTCCGATTCAGCACTATCTAACCTTTGAAGTTGAGAAAGTAATGTTAAATAAAGTAGGAAACATGTTTTTCACTTATTCAAAATTTTGATTGCATCTGCCAGTAAGTTCCCATTATTATCTTTGCCAAATTAGTCTGATGTTGATACCCTTTCTTAGAATCATTCATGCCTCTGTACAGATCTCTGATATTTTTGTCCTTACTGTTTGTATCAAGCTCAATAATTTTGCCTTTCAGATATTTCCTTTTCTTATTCCTAAAGGTTCTGCTAGCTTCATGTCTCACGTTACATAGATTATCCTTATTTGTCTTGTTTGGGTGCTGCAGCCATTGAAATTTCATTTGGTTACTTCTAGATGTTCCATATCTATACATATATTTTATTTATATTTTACTTGTGATGTTGGGGTAAAAAAAACAGGATATATTACCTGTAATCTGTATGGTTGTAAGTCTTATTTTTATTTGATAATTTGTCAGTCTGTAAATCTGACACCTGAGTGAATTGTATTAATGTTTTGCCTAACAGGTTTCAAGCTCTTTTTCTGTGTCTGTTATCTGCGTTCATTCCCAGACCATTTCTTTCTGATAATTCATCAGCATAGCTGATTGCACAAGTCAAAAGTATATTTTTTATAATAATTTTAGGAATATGTATGTTTCATGATGGTGGTTGTTGATCTATATTATAACCACTGCCACTTGTTTATGGAAATTTACAAGTATTCACTAACAACAAACAGCCTGAAAGCCACTACAACTAGGCCTTGCATGCATTACACTTGTTTTTGTACAATTTAGATATAATAAGTAAAGACTCTGTGCTTAATTAAGAATTGCAGTGAAGATATTGGGGAGTAGAGGTATAGCTGCATATGTTCTTTTGTAGTATTTAATAAGTCCCTTTAAATTATTTGTTATTTGGCATGGCTGTTTGTATGTTGCATGCACATCAGCTAAGCTCACGTTATGAGTAAGTACTGTACTTGCTAGCAGTTACCATGTTGCCTGCTTAGCAGAATCAATCTTTATGTGCATGATTTTTATTGTGCTCTATTTTGTTGGGTAAAATTATGAGCACTGTTTCACATCTATTTTGAAGAAAGAATAATTTCTGGTGTTGTATCTGCACATTCAAACCAGTAAAATCCTAAGCGACTATTTAATTTGTATATTAGCTATATTTTCTACATTTCCACTCTTGCATAAGAAATAATAATTGTTAAATAGAAACAGGTAAAAGAAAGTGATTGTAGTGAATTTTTATTTGGTATCGTACACTTCTATTTTAATTTGGAATTCTCCATCAAGAATGTAACTTCCAAGTTTTGTCAACAATTGTGTGCATGAATTATAAGAAGCAAATTAAAATAATGTTGGTTGTGTCTCCTGGGTTGGTATGCCATGTAGCTATGTAGGTGGTAACCTACACTTTCACTACCTTGCGAATTTAATATCTCAATTGAACACAAGTTTGTAAATGATTAGGGAGAAACATAGATTGCAGGTGTTTGAGAATAGGGTGTTGAGGATATTTGGGCCTAGGAGAGAAGAGGGTGGGGATTGGAGAAAACTGCAAAATGATGGGCTTAAAAATTTGTACACCTCCCCCAGTATTGTCAGGGTGATTAAGTCGAGAAGAATGAGATGGGCACGGCATGTGGCGCGCATGGATGGGGCAACAGGTGTGGAGAGTCTGAAGAAAACCATAAAGAAACTAAGAATATCTAGAAGCCAAGCTGAAATTTAAATCAGTTGCCTCCCAAATAGAAGTCTGGAGCTTTACCACTACACTATCCATCAGCTCTAATTTCCAGTTTAATTTCTACATATTTGTAATTTCACTTTCTGTGTCTTTGCTACAGACCTGTGGAGTCGTGATAATTTCAGGGTGATAATGAATCATGAATTAGTGAGGAAGAGAGTATTACTTCCAGTAGTATCTTTTTTCATCTGAGTTCAGTCAGTAGTTTATAATTGGCTTATCACATATCTTCATTCAGTGAAAGCAGCCATGTAGATGACAGTCCATCACTATTTCTCCCATCCACTACATTTATGTAATCATCTTAACAATCATCTTCTGTCTCCAGTAGTACCATAGTAAGGCATAAGGTGTTTTAAGTATGTGAACAGTATATTCATCTTACATCAACACTGAAATTCTATAACATTCATGAAGGTCAGACTATAGTTATGTTTGACATTGTAAATTTTCTGAAGTATATTCGATTTTCTTTAAGCTGAGTGACTGTTACCTTCTTAAGTGGGATTTTTTTTCCACTGAAATTAGTTTATAAGTATTTGCTTTGCCACACTTTTGAGTGTTTCATTATCTAGTTTATAGTATGCAGAATTTTGTGCATGTGATCTGATATTTTCAAAGC